CCCCAATACCCAGCCTAATCTGTGAAAGTTTTGTGTTTGACTGGGCTTATGCTGATATTGCAGGAGTCGTAGACCCTCAGCAATTTGGCAACATGAAAACTTCCTCCACCACTCACTGTCTTGTCAGCTTTCTCGATTACATATACCGCCATCTCGAGAAACGAAAAACGTCTGTAGCTGTCGCCTTCATTGATTTCACTAAAGCGTTCGACCTAGTCGACCACAATATAATCATCAACAAAGCTATTGACCTCGGGCTTCGGAGAAGTCTCATACCATGGCTTACAGACTTCCTCAGTGACCGACGCCAAGCTGTACGCTTCCGAGGGGCTGTCTCCACCTTTCAGTCACTCACCTGTGGCGTCCCCCAAGGCACCAAGATGGGACCACTCTGCTTCCTTATGCTCATCAATGATGCCCTAAGAGAAACCCCTGCTCGCTGGAAATATGTCGACGACTCCACCATTGGGATCAGCGTCAACAATTCTGCTCCCAACTATACCGCCCTTCAGGATTTATTGAACAGTCTCCAAAACTGGGCCACCAACAACCATGTCACCATCAACCATACCAAGACCATGGTTATGCACATCAACCTCTCCTCCGATATTGTCCCACCTCCTTCCATTACCCTAGGTCCGAACACACTCCAGGTTGTAGATTCCACGAAGCTCCTCGGCGTCACCATAGACAACAAACTAAATTGGAAACCACACGTCAGTGAAGTTGTCAAATCCTCCAGTTTCCGTCTCCACCTGCTCCGCCGACTCAAGTCCCTCGGAGTTCCTGCACACGAGCTCCTCAGTGTATACACAACATTCATACTTCCCAAGCTCACCTATGCCTCCCCCACCTGGTCTTCCTCCCTAAATGCCACACAACGTAAACACCTAGAAAAAGTGCAAAAGAGGGCATGCAAGATTATTCTCTCCCCTTCCTACTCCACATATCAAGAAGCGCTCAACACACTGACCCTTTCGACTCTCACTGACCATCACCACGCCTCATCTGCAAATTTGGTAAGAAGCTTCTACACCATCCCCGACACCGGCTCCTACTACCACCTGAGATCCCCTGTCCGAGAATTGCTGTTCGACACCACAACCGCATCCAGCCCATACGTGCACGAACTGATCGCTATAAGAACAGCCCAGTCCCAACCATTGTAAAAATTATCAATAACATGTAATAAATCAGTGTATTCACTCCCAGTAAACACTGCTCCTTACACTGTCACTATGTTGAAATGAACTGTAGTTTGAGCTGATCCCCATCTAAGTTATTATATGTCTTATTTGTGTCACTTATGTTACTTGTATATTATTTGTAATTCGTAACCCATTCCCCAAATATGTAACTGTATATTTTCAGCCTTCTGGCTGCCAAGCTCTTTCAATAAACCGTTAATTATTATTATTATTATTATTATTAACGCGTGTTTTGTCAACGAGAATTGGCTCTAACGCGATTGATGAATAGAGGAACAATATTTGTAAAACGCGAACGCGTTTGCTCTTACGCGATTCCACTCGAACAGTTGTGGCTTGGGGTTATGCATGTGAAACATGTAATAAATCAGTGTATTCACTCCGGTAACACTGCTCCTTACACTGTCACTATGTTAAATGAACTGTAGTTTGAGCTGATCCCCATCTAAGTTATTATATGTCTTATTTGTGTCATATGTTACTTGTATATTATTTGTAATTAACCCATTCCCCAAATATGTAACTGTATATTTTCAGCCTTCTGGCTGCCAATCAATAAACCGTTAATTATTTATTATTATTATGACCAGGGGTGTGTTTGCGGGTACCCTTTCAGTGCCATGAGCGTGGTGTGAGGGCCGGGCACCCGTTTAGGTCTATAACCAGGGGTGTGAGGGCCGGGCACACCTTCAGTGCCATGGCCAGGGGTGTGACAGGAGGGCACCGCTTCAGTGCCATAACCCGGGGTGTGAGGGCCGGGCACCCTTTAGGTCCATGACCCGGGGTGTGAGGGCCGTGCACCCCTTCAGTGACATGACGAGGGGTGATGTCAGCACCTTCAGCTCCATTACCCGGTATGTGAGGGCTGGGCATCCCTCAGCACCATGGCCGGGGTGTGAGGGCCGGGCACCCCTCCAGCACCATGGCGGGGTGTGAGGGCCGGGCACCCCTTCAGTGTCATGACCCGGGGTGCCCTCGCCGGACACCCCTCCAGAACCATGGCCCGTGGTGTGAGGCCGGGCACCCTTTCAGTACCATGGGTGTAGGGCCGGGCACCACTTTAGGTAGGAGGGCGAGCACCTTCAGTGCCATGACCGGGGTGTGAGGCCGGACACCCCTCAGAACCATGGCCCGTGGTGTGAGGGCCGGGCACCCAGTTACCAGCATGAATCGGGGTGTAGGGCCAGGCACCACTTTAGGTACATGACCAGGGGTGTGAGGCAGGCACCTCAACAGTGCCATGACCCGGGCTGTGAGGCCGGGCACCCCTTCAGTGACATGACCAGGAGTGTGAGGGCCAGGCACCCCTTCACTGACATGACCCGGGGTGTGAGGGCGGGCACCCCTTCACATGACCAGGGTGTAGGGCCGGGCACCACTTAGGTACATGTCCAGGGGTGTGAGCACCTCATCAGTGCCATGACCCGGGGTGTGAGGGCCGGGCACACCTTCAGTGCATGGCCAGGTGTGTGTTTGCCGGGTGCCCTTTCAGTGCCATGACCCAGGGTGTGAGGCCGGGCACCAGTTTGAGTCTATAACCAGGGGTGTGAGGCCGGGCACCAGTTTAGGTCTATAACCAGGGGTGTGAGGGCCAGGCACACCATCAGTGCCATGAAATGGGGTGTGAAGGCCGGGCAACCCTACAGTGCTGTGAACCGGGGTGAGGGCCGGGCACCCCTTCACATGACCCGGGGTGTGAGGGCCAGGCACCCCTTCAATGCCATGAATCAGGTTGTGAGGGCCGGGCACCTTCAGCACCATGTCCAGGGGCAGGAGGGCCGAGCACCCCATGCCAGTGCCCTGCGGGGTGTGAGGCCGGGCACCCGTTCAGTGACATGACCCGGGTGTGAGGGCCGAGGCACCCCCAATATGACATGACCCGGGGTGTGTGGGCCGGTCACTCCTTCAGTGCCATGACTCGGGGTGTGATGGCCGGGCACTCGTTGGGTCTATGACCAGGGGTGTGAGCCGGGCACTCGTTTAGCTCTAAGTCCACGGGTGTGAGGGCCGGGCACACCTTCAGTGCCATGCCCAGGGGTGTGACGCCCGGGCACCTCATCAGTGCCATGACCCGGGATGTGAGGGCCGGGTACCCTTCAGTGACATGACCCGGAGTGTGGCCTAGCACCCCTATAGTGACATGACCCGGGGTGTGAGGGCCGGGCACCCTTTCAGCACCATGACCTGGGTATGAGGGCCGGGCACCCCTTCAGCACCATGACCCGGTGTGTGAGGGCGGGCACCTTCAGTTCCATGAACCGGGGTGTGAAGCCGGGCACCCCTTCAGTGACATGAACCGGGGTGTGAGGCCGGGCACCCTTTCAGTGCCATGAAACAGGGTGTAAAGGCGGGCACACCTCCAGCACCATGACCCGGTGTGACGGCCGGGCTCGATTTCAGTGCCGAATCGGGGTGTGAGGGCCGGGCACCCCTTCACTGACCTGGTGGTGTGAGGGCCGGGCACCCTTTCACATGACAGGGTGTGAGGGCCGGGCACCCCTTCAGTGTCATGAACCGGGGTGTCTAGCCGGACACCTCCAGACATGGCGTGGTGTGAGGGCCAGGCACCCTTTAGTTCCATGAATCGGGGTGTAGGGCCGGGCACCACTGGTACATGACCAGGGTGTGAGGCGGGCACCTCAACAGTGCCATGGCGTGGTGTGAGAGGCCGGGCACCCTTTCATGACCGGGGTGTGAGGGCCGGGCACCCCTTCAAGTGTCATGAACAGGGTGTCCTAGCCGGACACCCTCCACAACCATGGCCCGTGGTGAGGCCGGGCACCTTTTAGTACCATGAATCGGGGTGGGCCGGGCACCACTTAGGTACATGACCAGGGGTGTGAGGGCGGCACCTCAACAGTGCCATGACCCGGGGTGTGAGGGCCGGGCACCCCTCCGCACCATGGCCCGGGGTGTGAGGGCGGGGCACCCCATCAGCACCATGGCCCGGGGTGTGAGGCCAGGCACTCTCCAGCACCATGGCCCGGGGTGTGAGAGCGGACACCTCTCCAACACCATGGCCCGGGGTGAGGGCGAGCACCCGTGTTTTGACCGGGGTGTCAGGGCCGGACACCCCTCAGCATCATGGCCCGGGGTTTGACGGCCGGGCACCTCTTCAGTGCCATGTCCCGGGGTGTGAGGCCGGCACCTTTCAGTGCCATGACCGGGGTGTGGAGCGGGCTCGATTTCAGTGCCATGAATCGGGGTGGGCCAGGCACCCTCCAGCACCATGATCCAGGGTATGAGGGCCGGGCACCCCTTCAGTTATGACCCGGGGTTTGAGGGCGGGCACCCTTTCAG